CATCAAAACATCCAGAAAGTCTCTAAAATCGCCCTTTGGCCAGAATTACTAAAGGGGTGCAGATAAGAATTGTGCTGAACAGCCCAAGGCTGAGAGCTGGGCTGCCAAGACCCTCACGCTATCCTTTAAGTTACTCACTATGTCATTTTGGGTCAGATACCTAACATTTCTGCTACACTATTCCCTCATTTGTTAAATATTAACGAATAAAGTTTCTCTCTCATAAGATTGTTGTGATGATTAAATGAAACAGCACATCAAAATTCTTAAAAGTGTTCTTGGCATATACCAAGGCAAAATAATAGGCTAGTACTTGTAAATGTTAGGCATTGTTCTCCCAGAATTTACGATTCCCACAATCATAAAGTTTTACACTTTCTCACCTAAATCTTTCAGAAGTCCTTAAAAACCACCCGGTTTCACAGCAGTACTCTGAGAGGAGCCAGTTAGAAAGAGATGGGCAACGAATACGAAGACATCCCTTAGCTTCCAGTCCAAGTTGACAAGGCTTAGGTCTGCCACCTTTGGCAAACAGTTTTACTTCTAAGACCTTTAGTTCTTTTATTAGCGAAGTGCGGAAGGTAACGATCGCCCTGCCAACTGCATAGGATTGCGGGGAGACTGATGCGAGGTGATGAAACTGAGAGTCCTTGGAGGAGGACACCAGTGAGGGGTATTACGATATTACTAATCCAGTTTAGAAACCAAGACGCCATGGGGGCATGGAAGCATTAAAACAGACAGTGAAAAGTCTTGTGTCATCTGAGTAAAAGAAAAACAAAACAAAGCCTATAGTTTCACCAGGAAGCATCTAAACATTTTTCTTCCCACGAAAGAGAAATTTTCAAATAAATGGAACTGTCCTCTGAAATGTCACACATGTTCAAATGAATTAAGGACCATGGGGAACTAAGCTAACAGAGTATCTATAAAATTATTACTTTCTGGAAAAGCAATTACAACAGAAAATTAATAAATATTACATGTAATTTATCAAATGAAAGATGAAACATGCAGGTATACCAGATGATTTGCATTATGCTATCATAAGATGCACAGGGTACATATTTAAGTAATTCTTAAAGGAAAAAGTTCTTTAGCTGTGTAAATAAATATAAAAAATAAAATGTCAAGGACAGATTGAAGAAATCTTAAACTTGCTCAGTTACATTCAGTCAATAACGAGCTCACATGGAAGTGAAGGAGCAGGGGAAGTTATAGGAGCAACATCAGATTTTAAATATTTACGCTTTGAATCTTTATTTACTTGGAGGAATCAGATGTACTTATACACATCCAGTGAAAGTTAACCAAGAAAACGGTTCTGCATAGAGTTTAAAATCTAAAAGTGTGCCTATGATATTTTTTCTTAATTTATGGCTACAAACCATGCTTTAACAGAGGAGTTACTATCTGTGGACAAAGAAGAAAATTGCCTGTGCATCATGGCCCTCACCAGGTCATTTCCTATCAGTTATGAGTGTAAATCCTCATTAAAAACTGGAGGAGTACAATACGTGATATGCAGATATCTCCAAGCTCCCTTATTTGGGGGGTAATTAAAAACTGTGTGCCTAGCATGTTACCCTTCTAAAAAAAGAGAAAAATAAGAAGTAAAAATTTGTAGTCAACTATTTAAATAGACATATGATACTTATAAGTTGGGAATTTGAGTAGATTGGGTCAAGGGTGGAGACAAGAGGGTCATGAGGCACCTTTTTACATTATTTTGATTTTTTAATTATGTGAATTTATTAACTATTTAACAACATTTTGTGGGGTTTTCGTGTGTGTGTGTGTGTGTGTGTGTGTGTGTGTGTGTATTTAAACCAAATACACATCAATATAAAAAAACTTCAAACTCACTTCTGGTTTAACATTTCCCACCTTCCCAAGCTCAGTCCTGCCCCTACCAGGGACCTGCAGAAGGGAGGGGTCTGAGAAATGTCTCAACTCACCGTGTTCCACTTCCTGTCCTACTCATGCTGCTATTTCTCATTGTTCAAAATGTGGTGGCCAGTGCAGAAAATTATGGGGTTAAAGGTCTGACAATGATACAGGGTGCAGCCAAAGGGGGCCCCCCCCCAGAAAAAGATTTGGAATGGTGTCCAGAATTCAAAGTGTATGGGAATGATGGAGAGACATATAAGATGTCCTCACCCCACCCCCACAGGTGTGAGTTGGGGGGGAAGGGACAGTTTTGCACAGCCACAGCCTTGCAGCTAATCCATGGCATTGTCTTTTAACATATCTATAGCCTCTGGCGGTCACTTGGATATGTTAAATGGCTGTGGCCAGGCTTGGAGCTAGGGGGATGAAGTCACTTCCCCCCAAGATATAACTGGGGGCAGGTCCCCCCAAGTTACAGCGCTTGCGTAGGGGCTTGGAGAAGATTGGCTCGAGGACATGGGATGATTACTGCCCAGACTAACGATGGCAGCCCAGTAAACTTGTATTAATACAGAATACTGGCAGGTGTAACTGATCTTGGGAGGAGTCGGAAATAGGGGTACAGAGGAAGGTGGGTGCTGGGATTTAAGAGCCAGGCACGGCAGCCATTGGGAGAGAGCCACGCGGTTTCAGCAGAGTGAGGACCCCCTGTTGGTGGGGTGAAAGAGGGAGCCACGTGGTTTTGGTGGAGTGTGGACCCCCTCTTTCCCAGGTGAAAGGGAAAAACCACGCAGTTTGGCCAGAATGGAGATCCCTGCAGCCAGGTGAAGAAGACAGCCACATACTTTTGGTGGAGTGCGGACTCCTGCAGCTTTGGTAGAAGAGGCCCACGCGGCTTTGGGGTGCCCCCTTTGGCCGCGGGGCCTGAAAAGCAACAGAGACTTTGACTGGAACTGGGTACAAAGGACTCTTGCCAGTGGACCATGAGAGGGTACCACAGTACTTTGGATTAACTCGAGATCCTGCACAGTGACACAGCTGACGGTGCCAGCGGCCTGCAACACAGACGTGTGCTCTTTTCCTGATTTACGGTACCCGGAATTGGGACAGCGGGGGAAGGGAGCACTGTGTGGGTGTAGGTGTACAACCTAAAGAACTTTGATATTTTAGTGGTGGCATTAGGCCTGAATAGCATTAAATAAACATTTTGTTTCCTTTTCACAAATCTCTGGCTTTAAGAGATGTGTTTCCAATTGGCGGCGGACAGAAGGGCCCAGTAGATTTTAGTATTTTGGTTTTTGGGAGGGGCCCCTGTTGTACAGCAGTTTTGGGCATCCCTAGGTGGGCCAAATATTGTATTGCCCCTCCCTTGGACCTCCTCTTGTTCGGTAACAACAAGACTCTTGTGTTTTTTGTCATCTATGTGACACATGCCCACACGTTGGTTATTTTTTCTCCTGGGGGGATTTCGTGGGCCCTTCAGAGACAACTCACTCACTACACCAAGAGGGTACCTTGAACATTACACATTACCCAACATTTGGGCCAAATATTTAGGATTTATACCCTTGCTCCTATATCAACAATCACTCCATGCAGCCTCTTTTTCACTTTCTTAAGTCAGTTTCTTTGGTTACTCCTTTAAAAGACCTGTGGTCCACCTGCCTCATGACTTTTTAAAAAACTGAGTGCCTTTTCTCTGCTGAACTCTGGACGTGCGTGTTTCTCCCTCCACAGGGTCTCTCTTAACTGTGGATTCAATGTAGTGTCAAGCCTGCCATTTTTATCTTTTTTTTGAGATGTGAGTCAGCCAACGTCAGTCTTCCCTGAACTCCAAAAGACACTGGGGACATCTCTCAAGAATTGCCACATCCTACTTTACTGAGTCTTCTATTATTAGCACCAGAGTCCCTAGGACTCCCCACCATGACTTGAGGCCAAGGGTAAGTACCCTCTTAGAAAAGACAGAGAAAACATACAGTTTTCCCTTTAGGCTAGGGTTTCTTAACAACGATGCTGTTAACTGGATAATTCTTTCTATTGGAGGATTTTCCTGTGCACTGTAGGATGTTTAAGAGAATCACTAGCCTGTACCAATCACACCCCCAGTAGCAATACAGTAGCACACCCCCATCAATCAAGCCAACGTCTTTGGTTGCCAAATGACCCCTGGAGGGCAAATAGCCTGGTTGAAAGCCACAGTTTTCAAATAACAATCCCTGTTTTCTAATCTCTTTACTACTCTGATCATTATGAAGCTAGCTGCTGGGGTTTGGGTGATGATCAAATACTCATTTGGGACTGCCCCTAAGTAAGCCCTGCACAGAGTCTCTGACGCACACATGTCATGGAACGTGTGTCCACGTGATACCCATTTCCTCAGAACAAACTCTGAAATCTTGAGATAATAGGAAAATCCTGCATAAGTGAAAATTAGCATAGACTTATATCTGTTTCTGACATTTAAAAATCTGGGCCTAAAGACGGTAAGGGTAATGGGAGAAGAGACTTTAATTTGCTCATTTTATGATTATATTGTTTGATTACTTTTAGATATTCAAACATTTGTATTAAAATGTGTATTTTTGAAAGAAAATGTGCATAGTTCAGTTAAGAAGCTACACTAGCATTACGCTAAGTGAAATAAGCCAGACAGTGAGGGACAAATACCATATCATCTCACCTTTAACTGGAACATAATCAACAAAACAAACAAGCAAGCAAAATATAACCAGAGACAATGAAATTAAGAACAATCTGACAGTAACCAGAGGGGAGTGGGGAGGGATAATGAAGGGAAGGGTTTTTAGAAACTACTATAAAGGACACATGGACAAAACCAAGCAGGAGGGTGTAAGCAAAGGAGGGAGGTGGGTTCAGTCGGGGTGGGGGGGAGTGGTGGGGGGAAAATGCAGTAAATGCAACTGTAATTGAACAATAAAATAATTTTTAAAAAGGTGTACGAAGAACTTCTTAAATTTGAATAAGAGTTGACTTTAATTTCATGATTGAGATCTGCTAAATTCATGTTTGAGATATAGAGACATCAAGGAAAAGGAAAAAGGGAAGAGAGGCACAGAAGATAAAAGGGAGAAGAAGTTAGAACTTACCTCGTTTCATCAATATAAACTGCTTCCAACACCGATGCTGCATATTCAATGTTCTTCTTTAAGTCTACGACGTTCACATCACCTTTTTCCAGCTGCTTCACTAAGCATCTTAATCTATTTCCAAAAGTAGGGAGACAGAGAGAGAGAGATCGGGGTGGGGGGAGAGAGAGAGACATTTATTACAACTATGCAGAAAATACTCCAATATTAAATACACCAATCTAGTATAACTTTTAACATATCTTTCTAAGTCAAATAGAGATATTTTTCAGAGGTATTTCGGGTATAGTTAAGATCAATTTTTATCACTTAAACAACTATGAGAAATTCTATTCACTTCTCAGTAATATTAGGGCTGTAGGCTGCTTGTTTAGGTATCGTATTTCAAAAATAGTCTTTCTGAAAATTCAAGACAACATACATACTTTCATAAAAGGATATTCCTAACGCTAGAATTTATTCTGTGGTTCTGCTTATTAAGAGTTTGCACTAAGAGAATATTTAAAGGGTACTCTTTTTGACCATTACTGTAGAAATTCACTGTATACAGCAATAAAAACAAAAATAAAGGCAAAGTGCCAAACAAATATAATCAAGAGGAGAAAAAAATATATGTTTGTATGCTTAGTTTTTTTACTGCAATTTTTTCACCTGAGACAAATCTATAATCTATTTTCTCTTGATTTTTGTCTATAGGGTGGTATGTTCCAACTCTTTGAGGAGTTTTAAGACATAAGGATTAGCTAAACACATCTGGATTTCTGACTCACAGAAACTGTGAGATAATTAATGTTATTGTTCTAGGGGACTAAATTTTGGGGATAACTTTTATGTAGCAATAGATATTTCATAGAATAGGATAACACAAATTATTTCAATAAGTTTCTAACACTTTTAGAAACTATATGCATTAAGTATAAAACCAAATGTTTCTGAAAATACTGCTCTGTATTAGGCAGTAAAAGAAAACATATTCCTTAATCCCTATATACTATAGATAAACAACGTAAAGACAATTTATTCATTTTCCTAAGTCAACAGACAAAATTTAGATCTACTCCTGCCCCAAAATATTTCAGATAGGAATGGAGTACATCTACTTTTAGACATTGTCTTAGAGATAGTATAGCAGGTTTTCTGAAAACATGTTTTGGATGATTTTCAGTATCGAGGTGAGGGTATAAAGACAATTTAAACATTTTAGCAAGGGTATTTGACATCCCTGATCCATAAGAAACAGTTTATTTCTGCATGGGGGCAAAGACACATCTAGATTAAAACTTCTTATTGGGAAGCTACAAATACTTTTTGTACCATACATTTTTATATTATATAATATTAGCAGAACATAGCATTGCAAAATAAATTCTATATACCAACAGGTAAGTGTCATTTATACAGAGGCAGCAAAACTGAACAAAACCAACCAGAACAGTTTTTTAGGAAAAATCAAGTCTGACCTTGAAGCTTGCATAAAACCTAGACCGTGATGATAATGGAGCAACATTACAGAAATTTGATATTTTAGTAAGGTTCATGGCCTGATCCCTGTGACCTGATCTCTTAATTCAGTGTGAAATTAAATGAAAGAGTTTCACAGTTTGCAATGGCTTAAAAACATATCACTCATGTGTCTTTCTTGTGAAAATTACTTGGTACACCTGGGTTGTATGCAGTTTTAAAAACAGCAAGTACTTCAGATGGTTGCTTCCCCTTCTTTCTGAACAGATGAACTCTGATTTCAGTTGAGGTAGTCATTTCTGCACAAAGAAACCACTTTTCCCTGGCTCTCTTTAAGGTAGGTAATGTCATGGTATTGCATTCTGGCCAAGGGGAATAAATGGAGGTTGTTAAGAGTTCCAGGACAATAATTTTGAGGAGGGCTAACTCAGCTGGAAGGAGTTCTCTTTTTGCCTGTTTTGTGCTGGCTGAAATGCAATTGATTTATCTCAATGTCCATCAGTCATCTAGGATCACATAGTGACCTGGCAGAAGAAAGTCTTCCATAAGGATGACAGGGAAGGAAGATGGAAGTAGCCTTGATCCCAGGCTGGGAATCCACCTGAGTGAAATCATCTATCTCTGTACTTATTTTCTATAAGAGAAAAAAGTTCTGTGTTTAAGCCAATATTATTTTGAGAATTTCTTTGATATGCTGCTAGACTCAATTTTTTAACTATTTTTCATCACCATTTATCCCTCTATAGCCTCCCCATGTCTCCCCACCCACTCCCCAGTGCAATCATCACACTATTGTCCATAACCAATAAATCAAAAGAATAAGAAGTGACTCAAAATGAAGAACTCAGGAAAAGGAGAATTGTCACATAAATGAAAGGAGACACCCCTGGGAAACTATCTACCTAACTCCTTCCTAACTCCTGACAGCCTGCAGGTGTTCCCAGGGAAATGATCAGACCCTCATCAGATCAGCAGGTCACACCTGATGGAGCTTGTGGTGACATCAAGAGGTCCTAACACTGGGACATGAACATGCCCTTCCACAGAGACATCTTTGTGGCTTAAAAAAATATTATGAATTATTATATCTTACCAGGGGTATAATGCTATAATCTGATATAAGAAAAAGCTCTGAAAAAATATTCCACAAAGGTTTTACTACCCAATTAGAAAATCTAGTTAAGGTGGGATCATAATCTGTAAACCATGAACTCTCAAACACACATGCACACACACAAATGGGCACGTCTGCATGCATGCACACACACACTTCGAGTAGCATGCTTCGGTTACATATATCCTTATTTCTCATCAATTTTATTAAAGTAATTAAAATTCTAATATATACTACCAAAAGCATGAAAAATCTAAAGGAGAATTAAACTTTTAGTGGTTTCTTTCTGAAAGAAAATTACTCTGATCCTTGATAATTCATAAGAAATTTAAAATCAGCCTGAATAATAAGAACAGAACATTCTTTGATCTTCTTAGCTTTTTGGAGAGACTTCCTTGCCTTCTAATGATCAGAACACTTAAAAAACAGAAGACAGAAATGAAAATAGAAATGCCACTTTTGAAAATAAACTATTGGTTCTGTAATTCAACCAAGCAGTTGCAGAAGAGAAATAATTTCCACCTTTGAACAAAGAGTACTGAGCTGTAGAAAGTAATTGAGCATTTTTAATCCAAATATAGAACTGCCACTTTTCAAATGAAAAAACTCAATATAAAACGATGTAGTTTTCATAATCAAGTTCTGCAAATATTGCAAAGTTACTTTATAAGATCCTGCTACGTGACCCAAACTTGCAAAAAAGCCACCCACCTAACTGAGAATACTCTCATATTAACAAGTCTTGTGTGCCTTTACTAACTCCAGCATATCAAATGCCAAGGTTATCTCTAATGCTGTAGACCTTTAATAATAAATACATTAATAAGGAAAATTTAAAAGAGAATTGATAAAACACTGTATTCCTATTAATGTCCCCATTTGTGACCTGATTGGAATAAAAAAGTGAGAAGGTATGATTTTCAGAATGCTATAATAAAAAAGTAGAAGTGAAGCTAAAAGAATAGCTACAGCAGATATTAGCATTAAAATATGGTCACACATAGGAGTATGCCAAGTCACACATAGGGATATTCAGAGCAAGAAGCTACATCATTTTCAGTGAGTTCTGCTTGCCTCTGATCCCAACATGATAAAAAAGATAAGAAGTGACTAAATAACGAAATTGCTATTCTATTCTGCAGGTCAGTTCTTAGGAAATTAAATCCTAACCTTGGTCTAAGAAGCAAAGCTTACAAATATAAAGTCTTTTAAAGACATTTTTTCTTTCACATGGGCAAATGTTATCATTGCAAAGCTCCTTAATACCTTTATTTTATGAAATGAAATAAATATGAGATAAATAACTTCCAAAACAATTGATATCATTTAAAAACTGGAACAATTATAAGGCAAAGATTATTAGCCTTTGATACAGATTTACACTCTACATTTAAAGAAAAATAATCTCACTGAGATGAAGAATATATAAGGGAAAAGTATTTTTAAGTACAAAAAGATATATAATTATTCTCCCACTTCTCCCGAATTCAAAATTTAGGTAAACTCTTTATCACTTTACTTCAAGAGTAAACTTTTTACTACAGAACTGTCATTGCATAATTTCCAGCATGTTAAAGAATTCCCTTTAAGTACAGAGACTGAAATACTCAAATAGTTAGAAATGCTTTCAAGATCAATTTTTTCCTCCTTGGAGGCAAAAGAACATATTGACCCTAAAAAGGAAAATAATCATTTGTCTCCAATTACTGTTACCCCTCTGAAACACTGTGGGTATGTGGACTCAAGGATTTTCTTTAAAACTTTATATATTTAAATAAATATGTATATTACAGATTTAAATACACATGTATTTAAACACACTGAAGTATATCATAGACTTAAATATATTTATAAATATACTTATAGATATACTTATTTTATATATTAAATTTATTTTATATATAAATTTAAATATGTGTTTTGATGAAGCAAAAGTAGTAACCTTCTCCTACCAGTAAGGTATTTATTTAAACCAGAAAAGAAGGATTAGGAACAGGGTACATACACAGCAGACCCACTGAAGAACAGTTTATTTTATGACGTTCTGTTGGACCTCTTCAAACACATGTTTAGCACTAAGCTCAGACAGCCACTCTGTGCTAAATATCTTTGAGTTGTCTCTCTAGATGTGCTGGACTGCCCTCTGCTGCTCCCTGCCCTGGGAGGGGAAATGTAGAGACTACACCAGGCATCCAGTTGGGTTTCACAGATGGGCAGCATCAGCAGGAGACAGAGGGAGAAGAGTGAAGCCATTGTACAATTCTTCTATTCTCCCCGGAGGGTCACTCTTCATCCCCAGAGGTCACTTGTCAGGCAGCCCTCTCCTTACCCATCTTTCTCAGTATGTCTGTATCTCTCTTTCATCAGGGATAACACATCCCTGGAGTCCCATGCTACTAGCCCAGAAGTATTGTGGTATCCCGGTGGTTCCCTACACTCATCCCACAACTCTGTAAACACTCCCTTTATTCATTGCTCCTCAAATTACCTATTTTGACTGTGTCATCTTCTTTGCCAAAATTCTATCACATCACCTACA